TAAAAAGATAAAACATTGTAAATGTAAAATAAATAAATTATTTACATCTAAAAAAAAAAAAATTATTCAACAAATCGTAAGGCTTTGGTGCTCCTCCAGTGATGCCAACAAGAATGGAACTGGATGAAGACTCTTAGCAAACCTCTAGTCTCCCATTGTAATTAATTATTTAATTAATTAATTAATATAATTCACAAAGCTTTGAATGATCCTCTGAATTTTGAGATTTACCAATTGTAAATACTGGGGCAATTTCAGATATTAGCCTCAAATATGCTAATACAATTTGTATATGTAAGACAAAAGAAAGTTTTGACTTGACATGTATTTAGTGAAAATAATACACAATGTTTAATAATAAACATATAATAGTTCATTTGCAAACTTTCATAAATCTCCTCCAATGTGATTATCTGCGTACATAGTAGAAGTGTAAATATACACTTGCATTTGCATGAAGGATCAGTATGTGTAAATGCAGGGTGTATTTGACCATAGTATGCATGAATGGAGGGGTGCAATTTAGTGTAGTACAATCGTGGAAGAATGTAAGATGATGATGATTCTGCTTTTTATAATACTAAATGCATGTCTCTCTCCATGCCCCAACTCCAGTGCCTACCTTATTTTTTTCCCCTTATGCATTTATGCACATCTCCATTCTGGTGTTTCTCTCTGTCTCCCCATGTTACGTGTCTCTCTCATCGTTGTGCATCTCTTACCACTTAGTCAACCCTTGTGTAACTATCTATTTATGTGTTTTTCTTCTCTTCCTCATCCCCTTTGTTATTTTCTTCCACTATCACACCCTCTTGTGACACAAGGAAGGAAAAGCTATAATGCATGGCCTTTATTCTCATTATTAGCAATAATTATCAAAATACATCAACTACATTTGTACAAGTACCTGAAGTAAAATAATTAGGGCACAGTCTGCCTGAAAAAACAATGACACATACAAAAACTTCTGTGTTCCCAGTCTAAATGAATGTTATACTGTATATCAGCAAAATTTACATTATTAGGCTGCAAGCCAATATCAATAGAATTTGACTCCAAAGTAGAGATTTTTATCTGAGAATTGGAGCTGAGCCCAATGTGTAATCAGTCTATATTGCTTTAGTACATTTAGACAGAGTAATATATATATAAATATTTATTTTGAAATTGAATAAGTAAGTATAATTTTAAAAAAAAAGTCTTTATAAGTAAAGTACTTCTATAGCCATCTTTTGCTAAATAACATATGTAAACAAAAGGCCATACATTCTCTGTTATTCATGAAAAATATATCACATTCCAAATTGACATTATTATTATGATTATGACCATACATATATTTTATCATTTCTTTATTGGTTAACATCAGTGATTTTTAACTCCTGAGTCAGGACCAAACACTGGATCCTTATACTATTTAGGTCCCCAGTGGTTGGAACAAACCCTTCATATATATTAGGCTCCCGACTACTGTCCAATAATAATTTGTAAGTTGTCTTGAATGTATTGCATATCCTTTTAGCCTTTTGGAAGAGTTTAACAGATTTGTTTGTTCTACATTATATAACAATATAACAATTGAAGAATGGTTCAGCAATATAAGTTTAAAACCGAATAATGGGTTGTATGTCTAAAAAGATAAATAAATGTCCATATAATGCTTTCATTAATACATTAAATTAGATCATGCATCTACAAAAATTTAAATTCTTATTTTGCAACCAGCAACCAATTAATGCTCATCATATTGCCATCTATATCAGAGAAGATAGCAGCCTCAATATAGAATTTTAAGATCCTCTTTATCGGCAAACATTGTTAAAAATAGTTTTGCAGATGTTGTAAATTCCATGGACATTAAAACGGACACTCCAGGCACCAAAATAACTTAATCTAAATGAAAGTTTTATGAATATGGATTCACTGGTGGGCTGAGAGTTTCTTCTTGTAATGACATGAAGGGGTGCTGCTCTGGAACAGCACTGTCTGACTCTTTGTATTCCACTTGAGGATAACAGTCTTCTTTACTTGGCGACAACTCATTTTTCACAGTTGCGGTTGTAAGAGAGGTGCCAATCTTCAAACCCCCACAGGTAGAAGGGTTAAAATAGGAATCATTAAACCTCTCCACATCAAAGTCGGAGCTGCCTTTGGCACAATAACCTCCTCTTCCCCTGGTTGCTCTGAAGCTTTCACCTTAGGTTTTTCAGCATTCTCTGACAATGTTTTGGAGTAGGTCGTTTACCACGTTTCCTACATGGTGGCCTTTTGACAGGAGGATCACCTTCAACGAGATTGGTTTCCAACTTCAATGGTCCAGCCTTGTCGTCACTTGCATCACCTGGAGCAATTTTTATTGAATGACTCTTCCATATTCAAATCTCCAGTATTAGATGACTTAACCATGTCTATTTGATCTGAGTCAAATTTGTAGGATGACTTGGGAAGAGGTGGAGAAATTGGAACCTCTGGTTCTATAGAGTCAGTATTTTCCCTTGGAGCATGAACTGCATTGTCCTTTGCGGGACTGATATCAAGATCAGATCCAGTCACCTGGTCAAGGTTACTGGTGGTCTCCTCAATTGGCACTGTGAGGGAGGAATTCTTATCTCTGGTTGTTGTCTCAGGTGAGTCTGTTTCCGCTTCGTGGCTGGGCAGACTTTGCTTGAGACACTCTCTGACCAGACTTGTACCCTCCTGAAAGGTGTTGAGCGTTCATCTTGGTAGTCATATTCTCACTCTGGAAATAGGCGAGTGGATCTTGCAGAAAAGTGACGGTGGTATAAGGGTACTATGGGTCTCTGGTACCGAGACAATATTAGGAAACTGCGTACTGGTACTACCTTCACATTCAGACTGATTGTCCTCCAAAGCTGCTATGCAACGAGCACCCAGTTCATCAAGGACCCGGTCCATGAGGGGATCGCCAGTGCTATATAACCCCTCAACATCGTCGTCTTCAGTTTGGGCTGGAAAGCATTTAGCTTTAAATTCATGAGGAACTTCGGTTTTGCAGTCGAGAGGATCAACAAGCCATTTGTCCAAGTCAGAGTCAGGAGGATTAGGGATGCTGTGCAAATCAGGAAAGGGTATATAAACATCATTATCAGGCATAAAGACAGAAGTCTTAATGAGGTCATAATCTTGCTGTGAATCAGTGTTATTACCAACCATGTTATTCATCGTGATCCTAGACATTATTCTCTGCTGGTTCCGAATGGCCAGATCATTATGTAATGACATGAAGGGGTGCTGCCCTGGAACAGCACTGTCACTTTAAATATGGGAACCAATACAACAAAGAAATAAATGCCAAGACACAAATTAATAGGTTAAATCAAGATATATATATATATATATATATATATATATATATATTTACAGAGAACCAAAAGACAAAACAAAACAATAAATATACAATGCCACAAAATATATACAATACATCAGAATAAGCAGGAATTGTGCAGGCAACATATACTGGAATAGTCCTTTGGTATAAGGGCAGGATTGTGCAGTTACCACAAGTAGCAGGTAGGGCACAGATCCAGAGTCACAAGACTAATATACTGACACCAGGAAGCAAGATCAGAAGCAGAATAAATGAACAAGGCTGCAGGGTCAGGATCACTGGAAATAAAGCAGAGAACACGGAACCAGAACATAGGATCGGAGGGTAGAGGAACGAAGGACCAGGAGGACACAGTAATGCAGGTTCAGGAGGACACGGGACGAAGACCAGGAGAACACAGGAACGAAGATCAGGAGGCACAGGACACAGGACCAAGGAACAGTATGCAGGATCAAGGAGCCAGGAGCCAGAATCACAGGGGACCAGGAACCGGGGAAACGGGAGACAAGAGACAATGATCTGGCAGGGAGTGAGGCTAGAAACCAGAATATATAGGTGCTAAACAAGAGCCAGGTGAAGTGCTTAACGAAAAGAAATGAGAAACAGTGCCAAACAGAAACAGTGGTGAGTGTGAGTACTGCACGAAGGCATATTAACTAAGGAGTGTCGTGACACTTCTGAAGTTTCAGAAGTTGCGCTGGGAGGAGCTTAGATCACTGCTGGAGACACCTTGGGGGTTAAGCCCTTGAGGTAAAAGTGCCCTGTGGGGGTCCTGGCACCCTAAAAACGTCATTTAAATTAAGTTTTTTTGGTGCCTGGAGTGTCCCTTTGAAAGTGCACAATAAAACATTGTCAACACAACCCTTAAAGGACAATTGTCATTAAATATTCACTTCTCATTTTTTTATATATTTATTGCATTTCATGAAACAATGATTTTGATTAAATCGCATATATCGATTTTTTTTTTTTAAGAGAATTTTTTATCTGATCCAACATGACTGATTATTAGACGTAATTTTAGAAAAATATTTTATTAAATATAATAAACGTTTAAAAAACAAAAAGTTAAAATGTGATAACAATTGTCTTTTAAGGGTTGTGTTGACAATATTTTGTTGGGCACTTTCAAAGTCCTTTTTCAACTTATAATAGAATTACAATTAGAGAGGATGTACAAGTGATTCTATCTACAGTGGACCTAAAGTAAACAGGCACATATGTGTGTGGCTTCCTGTTGTAGCTCCACATTTGTACTAGCCCTTTACATATCTTGGATGTAGTATATCTCCTATTTTTCTCAGTGGATGGCCATTGATAGGCTCAGAGCTTCAATGGGCACCCTACTAGCCCTTCCTGGTACTGCTCTACAGAAAGGAACAGAAGCTGGGAGGCAGGAGCATGAGTTTCCATAGCTATTCTTAAACGGTTTAACTCAGGAAGCTAAGAAGGTGTCTGGACAAACCTGTCCCATAACAACTTAAATAAGCCTTAAGTAAGTTGGTATGGGTGTGGGAATTTTACTGCAAGTATTAGTTCCAATGTTTGCTTTCATATAAATTGCTTGAAATATATCTTGGGATGAAATTACTCAATAATACTTGTTTTTTATTCTCTGCAGTAATTTGTCACTACATCTCCAATCTGCAAAATGAAGCTGCTTTACCTCTCAATGCTCCTGTTAGTCTTTTTGACTAGACTGGAAGCAAGACCTCAGATTACAGGTAAGACAAAAAGAAATCTCAAATATGTCAAAAATGCCTGGAAATAATATGTAAAAGCTTACTACAGATCTAACATCAGTTATCAGATGGTGTTTCTCATCACATAGGAACACAAGTGTAGATCTGTTTAAAATCTATTTTCTGACGATGGGAGGACCTTTATATATTCTCTTTGTTTTATTCCACCACTTGATGAGTTGGATTATATCAAAATACTTCTCTGTAGCTTGTAAATTCGGTACCAAGGATACAGAACTTGGCGACCTTGCTGGCCTCCCCATCATCTTCAACAGTGTTGCTCTATCAATAATCGTTATCTGTGATTTCATAGAAAATGTGTAAAGAGCAGAACATTTAAGGAATGACTACAGTCATGATCTGTTTCACTGATTCTTGTATGATAAATTGAACTTTTAATCCACCAAGTATAGGGGAGCAGTTTCAAACCCCCATCAGTCAGGAAGGGCAAAAAATACCACCAACAGGTGGACAATGGAGATCATTGACATGTAGCTATATAACTATGTATTTATGTTTCATCTTCTTCAGAAACACCAGCAAAAAAGCACATAAAAGTAAAACAAGGCTGATTTTTGCTTTCCAGAAAATGTATACACAGTTGAAAAATGCAGGTTTTAGGATTAATGTTAAGCTAAAATATTGTAGCAAAATATAACTTTTTTGTTATTTTTTGGTACTATTTTTAAATTGTTCTTGTGCATCCATCACATAATTGATTCATTTAAAAAAACAAAAAAAAAAAACAGATAAAGGGATATACTTGCAATTTTGTAGCATATAAACTCATGTGTTATAATGTGATATAAAGGCCAGATATTCTAAAAAAAAAAAAAAAGCATAAATAGTCTTTTATCTGAAAAAGCAAGTAAAACCCCACTAAGACTGCACAGAAGGTGGTCTCCATGGATCAGCAAGGCCTGTCTGCCAAGAGATTTACAAAGACTGAACTTTTTCCAGGCATTTGAAATTCGATTTGCTGTACAGACTTGCGACATGCTAGGGAAATATCTGTAACCTCAAACAACCACAGCTTATTTAAAGAGAGCCCTTTTGTTTGTAGACTTTACACATGATCTAAAAGCAAACATTTTGCTTTGCCAAAATTATGTCAATATGCCACATTTTGCTTCCTTTGCTGCTGCGGTAAAATCCTGATGTTCAAGCAAACTTAAATAATGCTTTACTGTTTTAATATGACAAGACATACTGTATGCCTTACATTAAGGCAGGAGAATACATCTCCAACTAACCTAATTCCCATCATGAGCTGCCATTTGTAGTCTAGATTAAACTGATGGGAATTTTTCAGCATCATTTATAATGTTGTAGTTTACCATCATCCCTCGGTCACTGCAGCAGTTGTTATGAGGACTATGTATTAGGAACTGTTGCATCTGTGTGCAAGGTCTTTTTTGTAACTGAGGACCAAACGTTACATGTTTTAGATATATTTTAAATGTTGTATATTTTTTATAGATATGTGCAGGTTATTGTAATTCTTTGTTTTTTACCATGATTACTTATGCATCTGTGAGTTAACAATTCAATATGAAGTGCCACACATAGAAATATGATGTAGCTTTCATTTTATCCTCACAGGAAATTTTGCATCTTTACTACACATTTGTCACTTTTCTGTAAAATTATTAGACAAGAATTCCCTCTCATATGACTGCTGTGCATTTTAAAAATGTAAAAGGTGCGCATGTTTCAAATCCTGATTAAACACCTAAATAAAAAATAAAGTTTTTTTATTATTAAAATATTATTATAATTCAAAAATAAAAAAATATCATTAAATTTTATTTAGCTTGCCAACTTTAATTAATTAAAATGCTGTCCAGTAAACCTAGCACTTGGATCATGTGAAAAATGTGTTATATATTTTTTCAAGGCAGCTTTTTATCTACAAAAAGACATGGGATCTCATGAAATTACCAGCAGTAAAATATAAAAATGTTGGTAAGAGTATTTATCAGCTATATTCTACATTCAGTTTTTATGCAACAGAAGAAAGGTTTCATCACAAATAAATCATCAATAAAATTATTTGGCACTCCCATAATCTTTGCATCCCTACTGTCTGACATGTTTTCAGTACAGAGAAAACCCTATTATATCTGGACCTCTCAGCCAGGTAATTCTATAATTCTATAACACTATGATCCCTTCAATGAGATGAAACAGTTATGGTACCTACAATGTCTCTTTAATTAACTTTGTCACTGTCGTTGTTGAAAACCGCTAACCACTACTCAAACCCACAGCACTGAGAAGGTTTTTGAAAACCACAGTGCTGTGGTGCAATGGGGAGAGATCATCAACCCTTGCTCTACACAGTTAAATTAAAAAGAAACTCTGGGGCTTCAAGACGCAGATGAATGAGTCAAGAGATAAAGATCCAAGTTCCTCCTTACTCAATGTATGCCAAATAGAGATCTTGAAAAAACTGTGAAGGGTTCCCCTGGCAAATGATGAGTTATATCCATATCTACCACCAATTTTTCATCCTCCATTTCCTGAACATATATATTAAATTTGTTTCCAAATGGTATATTCAACTCTCAGAGTACAGACTAGTTTCATTTTTTCTTTGCAGAAGAGCATACAATCTGAATTATTAATTTAACTGTACTCAGTAGAGAGATGTATTTTGGTAATTTGTTTCTTAATTTTTATTTCTGTTTCTATATTTCAGAGAAAAAATGTAAAACTGGTCCAATGGATCTTGTCTTCATAATTGATAGCTCGAGAAGTGTTCGACCTTTTGAGTTTGAAAGCGTGAGAAAGTTTATGATTGATATCATTAATTCACTTGACATTGGTCCTACATTGACAAGGGTGGGAGTAGTACAATACTCCAGTCAAGTACAAAATGTTTTCTCTCTCAAGACCTTTTCTAAAAAGTCTGACATAGAAAAAGCAATAAATGAATTCGTTCCTCTGGCACAAGGAACAATGACCGGCCTGGCAATCCAGTACGCCACAAATGTTGCCTTTACCATTGAAGAAGGAGCTAGGCCATTGTCACAAAGAATTCCAAGAGTTGCAATTATTGTGACTGATGGTAGACCTCAGGATCGTGTTACAGACGTGGCAGCTCAGGCTCGTGATGCTGGTATAGAAATCTATGCAGTTGGTGTCCAAAGGGCAGATGTAACTTCACTAAGAGCCATGGCTTCCCCACCACTTGATGATCATGTTTTCCATGTTGAATCATTTGATCTCATTCAGCATTTTGCAATTCAGTTTCAGGATAAGCTATGTGGTGAGTTAAAACTGTTTTAGTTTCACTATTCAACATTCATTTTGGATTGTATACACCCCACTAAAGTATATAGTTGGCCCATATCATTTGGGGGGAAAATGTTCCACTCTACTTTTCTCTCAAGCATTGAGAAAACATAGCTTACACCTACATAAAGAGAAATTATAGTAAAAAAATGTATAAAAGCTGTATACAGTATACAGTAAATACATAGTAGTTATATACTTAGCTTTCTAAAGATGGACCTTTTAAGGTTTCTCCTGAATAGCTTCTTTCACATCCAGCATACAAAAAAAAAAAAAAAACATACGGGGTGGGGTTTCAGCTGATCCTAGAAAAAGATATACATGAAAATAATATTGCAGTATTGCAACAATGTAAATTGCTATATAGTTATCAGTTCCACTCAAAAGATATTTGAACATATAGTGCCTCAAAATCTCACTGGTATTTCCGAGGGGTCTGCCAATATACCTAGTTTGTTGACGGTCTCCACGGGAATACTCAAGAACACCGGGTGTGAATTTAAAAAGATTATTCCAATAAATATTAAAAGCAAAAATAGGTCATGTTCATTTTTTTAAATTCAAAAAGTACAGTTTAATTAGTAGGATGCCTTGACTGGAAAGGGAAGAAAACGACCATAAAGAACAATGTTTTATTTAGCTCGTTCTTAAAATATCTTATGAGTAAATCCCATAGCATCACTGTATGAAAAGTTAATTATAGCACCAATTTCCAAATAACTCATTACTGGCAATTTGTTTGTGCAATAACATCACTCATTCATGATTCATTCACAAAGCTGTTTTTCTTGACTATAAATCATTTCTGACTGGTTTGATTGATATGTTTAGAATAAACATGGTTTTTTCTAATAGCAGTATTTATTTAGAAAGAGAATAAAGTGTCAACGTTCCATTTCTAATTCAATAAGAAACACAATCCAACATATAAAGGAACATCAATTACATTTAAAATTGTTATTGAACTCACCTGATTAGGAGGGGAGACAGGGCATTGAGTCTGCATACTCCTGTGGTTAGTGTTTTGCCTAGGTCCCGTCACCCTATGAGATTTGAGTATTAATATCATAATGATAGGGGGCACTAAAAAGGAGGAAATTATAAAATATAAGGTAACAAATGTACCTACATGCCCCTTTGCAATGTGTGGTGGGTAAAAGCTTACCAATGGAATCAGGTGGACAGTCATGCTGGATGCCAACTCCCTAACTAGTAAAATGTCTGGCAAAAGGTCCCTCACCCATTTGAATGCAGTGGGTAAGGGGTTACAAATGAAAGACAGGGGTCAGAAAAAAAAATTAGATTTAGGTAACTGAACAGATAGATAAATGTTAGCTATATGGTTGTAAAGAGCCCAGAGGCATCAACACAACAACCAATGTTGGCAGCGTAATGGACTCTATGGAAAGCAGGCAGCAGAACAAGAAGAATCCAATTATTGTATAAATGCTATATGTCAATCTAGGCAACAACTCTGGTAACACATCTGACTTATTATTTTATTTTATTTATTTATGCTTGTTTGTTTGTTTAAGATAAACTTGGCTATTTTTTGCCCAGCTTGTCCCCTTCAAGTTTTAGATTTGTTAAATTGAAGTAGAAAACTAGTAATCTCCAAAAAAATAAAAATAAAATAGATTTTGTTTTAAACCTTTATTTTATAGATGTTGACATGTGCACTGAAATGGACCATGGATGCCAGCATACCTGTGTTAGCGTTCCCAGTTCATATTATTGTGAATGTAACCCAGGGTACAAACTGAATGCAGATGGGAAAACATGCTCTGGTAAGTTTAAGTGTATACATTTTATCTGAATAGTTTAATTTGTGCCATATGTATTGCAAATATGTTGTGTAAAAACTACATGTTTACCAAATGTTCACTAGTAAAGGAACACTCCCAAGTACCGTAACCATTATAGCACATTGTAGTGGTTATGGTTCTATAGGTGCCCTGGCACCCTTCTCCTAATGTAAGTAGTCAAACCTTTTATTAATGACTTGACTTCTTACCTAGGGACTTCATGACTCCATTACCGACCTCCTCTTGGGCTCCACTCAGATGACCCTGCATCGCAGGGATTACCTCAGGAGAGGTAACATAAACTCCTATCAGGAGCTTTCACTTCTGGCTGTGAGGAGGTGGAAGTGGCACCTTGTGAATCGCAGATAAGAAGTCAAACTGTTACTAAACAATTTCACTATTTACATGAGGGGGAGGGGCACCAGGGTAGTGTGTTGTAGTGGTTATTTTGCTTGGAGTGTTCCTTCAATGTGACTAAGCTCTGAATAAAAAGCTTCTACAACTATTTTTTGGGGTGATAGCCTGGGATGAGTTGTGGCATAACCTGTGTGATGGGAGTTCTAGTAGAGAAAATGGCAGCCACAATTTTGACTGCCTAAGTATTCAAATTCCTGTTGGAAATTGAAGCTAAAGCAAAACTCTGCAGTGTTTAGCATCACAGTGATTTATTTGTTTGTTTCTAATATTTGGAGGAGTTAAAGCATGTTTTGATATAAAGAAAATTGGCTTAGTGCTTGAAGGGTCTCTTTTAAATTCATGACTAAAATGGGCTGAAAAAAAGGAAAGGTTCCTAAATGGAATTAATGAAGAGCAGTTGAGATCAGTGGTTTTGAATACTGGCTTGCCATCTTTCCCAATGATGACTGGTGAAGTTTAATGAAGAGATGAACCCTCTTAACCCCATGAGATGGCATGCCTGATTCAAAACCAGCTAGATCTCCAGTCATCATAATTGGGAGAATGTAAACTGCAGGTAAAACCATGACAGACACATGTCCTTTCAATGCAGTACAGCCTTGTACTCAGACATAATTTGCTTGAATATCCTTACTGTTTCAGTTTTCTCTTATTTGCTTCCTTCGAGGACAATCATTGGTTGTTTGTTTCTTCTGCCTGCAATGCTAACCGCTTTATTTTAACTTGCTTTAATAAAAAAAAAACTTGCAGATTGCAGACCTCAGCATGTAGTTATCCATGTGGACATTGTCCACTTTTCAGAATTCTTTTAACCTAAATTCAATTTAAATCATTATATTGCCAGTTTTGTGTCATAAATCCTTGGCACATATGATGTTTTTACATCATGCCCTTCAAACATTTTACTTTAGAGTTTACAGTAAGTAGATTGTTTTATTCCTCCGAATAAAGTATTTTATTCCTTCTGGAAAGAAGTATACATTTGAGATGTTGATCTCTAACTTAGTTTTTTTGTTACCCGGATATTGCTGTTCTTAATTAATTTCTTGAAACTGGGCTATCTAAGTGGAATTGCCCCAAGTCAAAACATGTGTCACACTTCTGCACTCACGTTTCTTAAATTTACATTTTGTTTAGCTTGTTATAAACAATGCTTTTATTAATTCATTGTACGTTTTGTTGGTATGTTGCAATTCCTAATCTTAAAATAAAAGTAAGTGATTGAAAACTCCCCATAAATACTAAATACATAAATCTTTTGTAAAGCATGAAATATTTATTGTGTGATACAACAAATGCTTGATCTAAGTATTTACAAGAATTGCATATGTAATTAGCACAAAATCTTCTCTCCTTGGAACATAAACATCCATTCATCGCCCATTTTATAGGGCAAAAGTCATGTCTATTGTAAATTGAAACTTTTCATGCATGACTACTTAATTCATCCAAGTCTAAGAATATTGAGTACAATTATTACCATGCCCCATCAAATTGTTCATAGGAATAATTGAAAATAATTCAATAATTCCTCTCTATTTATTTTATATTTTGTGTAACCATATCTAAATATTCAAGTTTTATAATTCACCAGATTACACGTTTTCACAGCGTCTAATAACAATAACTAAAACTAAATGGTCCACTTAAGGCCATCAACAAGTGTCCAGATGTACTAGGCATGTTACAAGGTATGACTTATTCCAATATTAAAACTATTGTACATCATAAACTACATAGTTACATAGTTACATAGCTGAAAGAGACTTGTGTCCATCAAGTTCAGCCTTCCTCACATTTGTTTTTGCTGTTGATCCAAAAGAAGGCAAAAAAATCCAGTTAGTTGCAATTTTGCAACAAACTAGGGGAAAAAATCCAGTCAGAATGGCTGTCAAATATAGAATACTTAAATCCAAATGTGTTAAAGTTGTTGCAACTCACGATGATTTTTCATTTATGTCTGCATAATATATCTTTTAGATAACTGGAGATTTCTTTTTCAGTGATCAATATGTGCCTCCAAGGAAATCATGGATGCGAACAACTTTGCGTGAGCTCCCCTGGTTCTTATTCATGTGCCTGTAGTAGTGGCTATCAACTAAACAATGATAAAAAGACTTGCTCAAGTAAGTCTTGTCACTCGAAGCTGGATATTGATTGTGTTTTATAACAGCAAATGCACATTGTGAACTGTGACAACAATTGATTATGAATATCTGTAGAGCAGAGGGTTGACACAATGTACTCCGTTTAATATTTTGGGATACATTTTTCAAATTATTTAATCATTTTGGGTACGTTTTTAAAATGATTCTTTTGAAATATTACAATGTAAAAAATATTAAAACGTGTTCTTCAAAATATTAAATCCTTAGAAAAAAGTATCCAAAATTAATACATTTGGGCCAATGTGGTTTATTCACAAGTAGTACTGAACTGAAAATTAAATTGTAAAAGTTAGGCTTATGATAGATGTTTTATAAAAATTATAAAACTATAGTCACAGCTTAGCTATTCAGGCCAGAACTTTTCATCAAGATCTCTCATTAAACCAGGACATGTAGACAATTAATAGGAAGATGTCAGATTTTAGGCCACAATAGCTAAACTGGAAAACATATCTGTGTTGGAAAATATATCCCCAAAACTAAATAAGCAATTCTCTTGCTCCACAAAGGATTCCTAAGTTTACAATTTAGTGAATAACTCTAACAGAATTTATGTCAACATTGCTGAGTTTTACAAACAACAAAATGTTCAGTGCTTGTTACATGCAAACATTAACGGACCTGGATAAAGGCTTCTTCAAACAGCAGCCACCACCTCTGTGACACAAAGTAAATAGCAATACATGGAGGATTGGAAAAGACTTTGCTTGTAGTGCAAATGGGGCTATCTCTTGTCTGAAGTCTATTTAAAGACTATAGAAAGAGATGGAAATAGACAGTTGTCAGTTGCTACATCAAACTCACAATTAAGAATGCTGTTGCATATCTTAGATTTTCCTTTGTAATATAGAGTGAATAAACTTATGTTGTGATTATGTATCACTCACCAATGTGACCAGCATGATACCTAGTGTGCAACTGGCTCTCATGGCATCTGATAACCCTGTTATACCAAGAATGTTATGAGTGAGCACATAGCTGTGTTGATTGGTAGACTTGTGCATTTGTTTTCAGCTGAATTGCAATTTGTCTGAATTTAAGCTTACTAGCGGGTTGTCCAGATTACATAACTCTGAAGCTCCCAGTGGCATCTCCAGGATTCATATTTAGGGGGGGGCACATGACGTGCCAGGGACAAAAGTAAGGGGGCAGTTATAAAATGTGTATATATGTGTGTGAGTACATAGACTGACCCATACACACACACACACACACACACACACACAGACAGACTGCATCCTCACACACAGACTGACCCATACACACACAGACTGACCCCATACATACATACATAGACTAACCCCCCACATGCACATAGACTGACACATACACACAGACTGAACCCTCCCCTCCTCCCCACATACAGACTGACCCCCACACACAGACTGAACCCTCCCCTCCGCCCCACATACAGACTGACCCCCACACACAGATGAAACCACCTACTCCCCCCCACACACACACACAGACTGACCCCCCCCACACACACACACACAGACTGTCCAATACCACTCACACTTACTAGCAGGTGCCTGGATGCTTCTGTGCAGAGCTGAACTCTGCCTGTCTCCCCCCTGCGCTGCTCCACCCACCCCTTGCACTGCTGCTGCAGCTTGTGAAGGGAGGCTTGGTACTCCTGGCTTCGATTTCAATTGGGGGGGCACAAAAGGGGGGCACTGCATGATGTTAGGGGGCCAACACCCTGTGCCCACCCCCCATCCCCGGTGACACCCCTGGAAGCTACACGTGGATCTATAGCCGAACAACAGACTTGAGCAATGGAAACACATATTTGTTTAAATCCTCTGTGGTGCCAATAAAAAGAGATTTGTGATGGGAAATACACATAATTGATGGTTAGAGGCCAGCCATGTAATGTTGCTATTATCCACAGATCAAATAAGAAGTGACTATAAAAGGAAAAAAAGGAGAACTGGCCATTACTTTTCAAAATCATGTGCTTTTTCTACCTGCAACATTGTCATGCAGCACTGAAAAGAAACAGGTGCAAAATAGTAAGCACTGGATCAGAGAACTGACAGTCCAACAGAAAGTGCATAAAGATTGCTGTCAGAAAGAGGGGTTTAAATATACACGACTTAGAAAAAAAAATATGTAAAGTTTATATTAAAACAAATTGATGTTCCTTTAAGCGTCCTTTAAGCGCCCTTTAAGGGCTCTTTAAGCGTCCTATTGTTTTCTGTTTAACTCAGTAGAATTTAGCATTTAAAACAAAACCTGAAACGAATTCCTGGCATAATTGTTTGTTTGTTTTTTTTTGTCTCATAACAATGTATTTATTTGGATTCTGGACAAAGGCTTCACATTTTTTGTTGATATTTATAAGCCCATTTAGTGTCGACAATCAACTTATAAAAATGCAATATCAGATGGAATGTCAATGTGATTGTAAAATGTTCTATAGATAACCTGAAGATCTTCCTTTTCAGTAATAGATCTGTGTGCCAAGGGAAATCATGGATGTGAACAACTCTGCATTAGCTCCCTTGGATCTTACTCTTGTGCCTGTCATACCGGTTATCAACTAAACAATGATAAAAAGACTTGCACAAGTAAGTTCATATTTTTCTTAGAACACATTTTTTTTAATCTGGTTTAATAATTGACATGATTTTCTTTTCTTTTTTTTTTAAGATTTTTAAAACATAGACATAATATTTCCAAAAAGTCAGTGTACAAATCAGACCTCTTCCAATCCCTACAAAAAAAGACTGTTAAGAACTCGAGTCAAAAATTTGACATGCAAAATTGCAAATCTGTTTTACATGGGTAAATAGCAAGGATTTTTAATCTAGAAATAAAGATTAACTTAATTATATTTCCCCAATATGTTAAAATAAACAGCAAATCTATTTGCGGAGAAACAGGACTTGTAATGTTTCTTGTAATCATGTTTCTAAAAATATTGGCATAGCTTTCTGCATGCTTGTTTTCCTGTCCTTCGCTCTGTCTGTCTATTTAAAATTATACATAAAGTCCTCATAAAACACATTGATAGGGGGGCGTGGCCTGACAGCCTAAGGAGACAGTCGCATGGTGCTGGAGCTCCCCAGGAAAATACACTAATTGTGTCCAAAAGTGGACTTTATTGTTCTTTTATCGGCTAACAGTTTGTTGTAAATCCTGGGGAACACACTGCTAAGCATTTGGAACTCTCTTGTCTGAAACTGGAGGACAAAAAAAGTTTTTGACTAGCTGTCTACAGCTGCACTCGGAGAGAAGGGTGCAGGTGACCCTTAGCCTTGAATTGGAGCCAGTTACTCTTCTTACCTGGTGTCAGTCATGTGCTACTCCTAACCTCCGATACATCCTGTTTAGTAGCTTTTGGACTAACCTCAGAGCTTCCAGCTTTGTGGTAGATGTTATCAAGGCAGGTAGGGTGCCAGGCAGACCCCAGGTAATAAACCTTCTAAAAAGTTTTTACTAAGTCCAATGGGAGCGCCAGGGCTATACTGGCAAAATAACCACTACAATGCTGGTTTTTGTGTTTTTGTAATATAAAGCTTGTTTTTATAAGTAAAAAAGTTTTAACTCTTTAATTTAAATATGGTTATATTTTTATTTATTTATTTTGTAACCTTTCTGCTATGAATTGGTTAAAAGCACCAATTTTGTTGTGATGTCAGACATTTTAATTAAACATGCTCAGATAATTTGAACTTTTCAATACCATGGAGCCTTGTGTCTTGATAACAGAAGGAAACGTGTCAAAAGACGGGCTTTCATTTCTTTCCAACATGAAATATTTGTCTGAACAAGATCCCTCTGTAGGTTTGATTAAATCTGAAAACAAAATCTATAAAGAACTTTCATGTCTGTCCAGTTTTGAATGAAATAACTTGTGAAATAGCCCTGACCTTTTTCTATACTGATTTATTTCAGAAGAAATGTCATCGTGTTAGTAATATTACACTGAATACACTTGGACAACAAATTAGCTCATGACAGAGTTGGGGGTTTGTTCTGCCAGTGTTTAATCCCTTGAGTGACAGGTTTATACCCAATGCAAAGCAATACACAATTGCTTTAATTCCTCTATAACTCAAAACTTAGGTAAAATGGTATGTGATTACTTAATGCTTTTGTCTAATGACTTCTAGTGATTAACTACTGCTCGTATGGGAATCACAGCTGCCAACATGAATGTGTGAGCATTCTGAATGGCTACTACTGTCGCTGCAATGAAGGATATACTCTCCAGAGTGATGGAAAGACTTGTTTGGGTAAGTGTACTATAAAGTCTTTCCTTTGCTCATAAAATTACATAAGGAATTTGTTTTAAAAAAGTGACATCTCAGTCATTACATTTTGTAATTAACAGTGTAAAAAAGTACACTAAACTTGCATCATTTATCAGTCTAGACTGCATTGCCACTGAAATAATTAGAGGAATATTTAAATATATATAAGAAGCAGCATTGCTGCTAAATTCAGATACACTCAACGTCAGTTTAGAGATCCAAGTTTTTTACTACCAAGACTTGCAGACTGGCATATGATGGTAATTAAGCTCAGCTGAATACGTAGCTGAATTCAGCTATTATGGCCTACAATTCGAATTTCATTCTGTACTCACTTTGAATTCCACACAATGCACTATAGTGAATAAACCTGTTAAAAAGAACCCCCAAAAAAACAAACAAATGAAGCTACGCAGCAAAATAAAAGTTTGTGGTATGGCTACCAATAGCTTGACAAGTAGTTTCATTTGTGCTTTTCATGAATGAAACTACTTAATATTAATAATATAAAAGCTCTGACATTTACACACTGCTTCTGAAAACAATATATAGAACAACTTGCTGACGCTTTGGATTTGCAGCAAATGGTGAATATTCAGAACCAACAAATTTGATTTCTGACTAGGACTTTTTTTCATAGACTTTAATGGCAGAACCCACTGGTTGGCAATTGCCAAATTACACATCTTTAAAATAGACTTCCATACATCAGAGTTTACTGAATTAACAGAACTAACTATTTCGTTTCAGCCAATGACATGTGCAATGTTTTGGATCATGGTTGTCAGTTTAAATGTGTCAGTACTCCTGGTTCATACCACTGTATTTGTCCAGAGGGACAAGATCTGCAAGCTGATGGGAAAACATGCAACAGTAAGTATAGCAAATACTGGTTATTCTTTGTATTCTGATTCCATTCTGTTTGTCTTATACTCTACCCATTCAGATAAACCAATGGGTGGTTATTACTGTTGACCAAGTGGGTAAAAAGAAGAAAGGCCCATTCAGTGCTGTTCGAAATTGAACAAGCACAGTATATTGTGGAGTCAAATACAAATCAGATCCCACTATTGTTTAGGCTAAAAAGTAAATATTATATGTTGCACATGGAGAGGTCTTTTTTCTCTAAGGAAATCAATAATCTCTCAATCTCAGAAAGATCAGAGGGGAAAATGGAGAAAAATCCCAAAAATAAGTATATCACTTCATCTAAAAGTGTGAATTGAAAGGGAGTTAGTTACACATAAACAAACATTAGTTTATTTACTAAAATAAGCTTTGTGGAAACCTGGATGGAATTTGTAAATTTTAGATCAAGGTACTTTCAGCAATTACTAAACAATATTTCCCATATTTCACTGCCAGACAATATGTTGGAAAATGGAAAGGGCCACGGTCGAACTTCCCTGCTATAAAATGTGAAGATAGAGCTTGTAATCGTAATGAAGCGCAAACAGGTCTAGAGTTTAAGAGAACCTTTAAATCAGGGGTGGCCAAAATATAGATCTACAACTCCCATGATGCCATAGAAAAAGTGTCTGTTGGTAATGAATGAGGGGAACAAATTACCCTCAGAAAATCTAATGTGGGGGATGATAATCGATAAAATCCACCAGTTGTGATAGTGTAGTTTTTAAAATTGCATGTTTAACTGTTTCAGAAAAATGTGAAAAACATATCGCATTGTAAAAACGTTGCCCACAGATTTATTTTTTTTAGGTCCTATTACAATCCTATAAGGCATTTATCTTTTTTAAAAAAAAAATAAAAGAAATAAAACCTTTTTTTTTAGTTTATTATAGGATTTTAAAATACAAGAACATTAAAGGTCAAATAGACATCAAATAAACATACAAGTAACAATCAGTCAGAAGCATTCCCCAAAAGAGAATAATGTTACAAATGCTAACAAAAGTATTTAGCATGAAAAGTAGTATTTAAGAGAAATTATGAAAAATTGTTAATTCTGTTTTGTAGCAATACTAATTGTCAATTTTTTTTTTGCAGAATGTTCTACTGGTAACATTGACTTAGTGTTTGTTATTGATGGTTCAAAGAGCGTCCGACCACACAACTTTGAACTTGTAAAGCAGTTTGTAATTAAGATAGTAGAGAATCTGGATATTTCTGCCCATGGTACACATGTTGGGTTGGTTCAGTACTCCAGTCGGGTGCGCACAGAGTTCCCTCTTAGTCAATTTAAAACTGCAAATGATATCAAGAACGCTGTGAAGAATATACAGTATATGGAGAAAGGCACAATGACCGGTTTGGCACTCAAGCATATGGTGGAACATAGCTTCTCTGAAGAGGAAGGAGCCCGGCATCCTTCAAAGAATATACCAAGAATTGGTTTGGTGTTTACTGATGGCCGATCTCAAGATGATATTTCTGAATGGGCTAAGAAAGCTAAGGAAGCAGGTAGGAATAATTAAAATTCAACATAATTTATTTAATATGTGGAAATAGGCTTACAGTACCTGGAACCCTAGTCTTTATTAAAGGTACAGAGACCATGAATACTGATTGGACTGTAGGTTTTGGTAAAAATAAACTTTTTCTTTTGTATTTAGGATACATAATCAGAAAACTGAGGTGAATTAAAGATGTGGTGATTAATCCTCTCACGATGGATGTATGGGAGGATAGATAGATGGATGAATGATGTAGATCAGCCAAAATATAGTTTGCTTAATTTTAAGTAATCTCAACAAAAATGATTAATTATTATTTTCTGTGACAGGTATTACTATGTATGCCGTGGGTGTTGGTAAGGCTGTTGAGGATGAATTAAATGAAATTGCATCAGAACCAGTTAGCAAGCATTCCTTCTACACAGCAGATTTTGGTACAATCAATCTAATTGCTGAGGATTTCAAGTTGAACATTTGTCCAGGTATGTTAAATTAACATAATTAACAGGTTTAATTAACATCATGTTAACAGTTTTGCAGCTTACATTGTTTTCAATTGCAAATATAGATGCTAAGTTTGCATTAGTCATACCAACGAAAATCATTTATCTGCATTGGGCAGTATGAACTAAAGTTCATTAGTGATGTTGTACATACCACATTTATTTGGAAGTTATGTGCAAAATAATATGTCAGTTGCAACACATGTTTACAAAATGTATATTGAAAACAAGCAGTACATCGTATTATTAAAGGAGTTTTTGTCTATCGAATAACCAAGTTCCCTAAAACTATCCTTCATGTTTGTAATCAGTAACAAGATTGGCCACTCCAAGCACCAGTGATTGTCATTATAGTCTGTGTGCAGGGTTTCTCAATGAAATTATGCATATAAAGAGTTAAAGGCCTTTGCAGGCAGACATGTAACTCCTCCCCCAGCAGAGTCATTAGCCAGCTCAGAACAAAAGACAGTGGACCTCAGAACCATTGTAAATGGTCCACAGGTCCACTGTAAATGGAATTTTCTCATTACCAATATGTGGCCACACCTATTAATTGTGTAATTTATTTTAACCACTTTCTACCAATAACTAAGCATAAATTACTCATAATTGCCTATTTAATTAAATAATTAAACATTGAATGAATAATGAATGTTATGAAAAGTAATTACTATCGTCATCATTATATTTTGTGTTTTCAGAGGAAATAAAAGGAGAGACAGAGTTTAAGAACCCATGTGACTGTGAGCACCTGGTCAGTTTTCAGTCAAGCACTCTTACAACGCTCGGAAACCTTTCTGAAAAACATATCCTTTTGCCATTTTATTGTAAAGTGATCCAATTTCCTATTAAAGAGGGGACACTAAAAAAAAATGCCAACACAACATGTGGCAGCATTGTTTTTATTACAGCCCTTTTTCATGCATGTTTTAACAAACCTTAATGGAGACATCTGGACCCCCTATTATACAGTATGGAGAGGGACCAGAAGGACATGGACTTAATAAATAGCAAGAAACCATACAAAAAGTTAGATAGATTGTAGATTACTTTCAGAAAACATGACATTTGTGGCGTATTTAGATTAATCATGCAACATTGCATTAATTTGAGAATTTGTGATAACATTGTACTCATTTTGGACATTTAGCAGTTTCAAGGTTTGAAACTTTGCTTTGAGTTTTAATTACGTCCAGGTGGAGCACAGGTCTAGTTCGTCCACAAGTCTTTACATATATTCTAATAGTAGTAATTAAAGACTGTACAAAAGCATGAAGAGGTCACTTGCAACATATCTTTCTTCTCTCTAAACTAGTGATATTGTACATAGTCCTATTACTACTCCCATATAGGCCTCGGTGTGGGTGTTGGAGACCAGGAATGTCATAACTGCACCCTCTTCTTCAGTAGGCCCCCTTGTAGGCAGCACCACTGACAGCTCTGTGCAATTAAAATATCCACAAATGTCTGCACTGCTATTGGACTTTGTAGGATAGTATGAACATTGCAGTTTCTCTAACACTGAAATCATTTACATTGCAGGATTAAGGGCATAGGAGCAGTTGACTCATACCACTTCAATAAGATGAAGTGGTCTGGGTACCTGTAGTGTCCATTTAATGCATTTAGGGCATAATGACACGTCCTGCAGATATGGTCATAGCAGGGGTAATTCCCTGCTGACAAAAGGGAGCCCCAGGTATTAATTGATATACCTGTGGCTCCACTAAGTCTGCAGGGGTCATTTTTATTGGCCCCAGTCTTTTTGATAAGATGCATGCAGCGCTGGAAGTCAGCAATGCAAGCATCTCTTTAACTAGGCATTTAAATGCCTAAATAATGATCACAGTGTGAGAAGAGATAAATCCCTGCTCACACCACTAACCTCCTGGTATCAATGGATACCTATAGCTCCTGGTAGTCAGATTGTACCATTTTATGTGGCCCCAGACTGACTGCCTACACAGAGACCTTTAAGCTATTTCAGTTGCACAGTTTCAGTATTTCTGGGCTGCAGGCTGCTTTAGAAAGTTTCCCCAGGGTGTGAACAGACTTTGGCAGGGTCTCCCAGCCTGTCGCTGAATATGACCGGTGCTGAGCTTCGCCTGGTGCTCAGCACCAATCTCAGTATAATTGACTGGGGACCAGGCTTCATTCATAAGTACAATATGTAGATGGCACTTACAGACCACTATCTACTGTGTTAAATAGTAAAATCCATTTCTAATTGCAGAACTGATATTAGCAGTGGTTTACATTATGGCTAGGTGTTAGTAGAGGGGTTAGGATTATGGTAGTGTTGGGTTAGATTTGGGTATATTGTATTGTATTGTAGGGTTTTAGTTAGTGTTAGGGTAGGGTTATGGTTAGCTGCAGGGTGAGGGTTAGGGTAAGGTAACAGTTAATGCTGGGTATTGGTTAATGCTGTCTTAGGGTTAGGGATAGTGTAGGGTTAACTGTAAGATTAGGGTAGGCATACTGTTAAAGTTAGTGTGGGGTAAAAGGGGTATGGTTGGTGCAGCGCTATGCGCCAGTGTGGGGGTTTGTATAGGGTAAGCGTTAACTTTCAAACATTAATTTAGATCTCATACATATTTATTAGGCATTCAACAACCGTACAGGGTTAACAACATTCTCACCAACTGACATATGAATCTAGTTTGAGTTATTTTTAGATGCAATGGATGTGTAAAAATTATTATAAGCAAAAATATATATTTCTTTCAATTTTTTTCCTTTCTTAAAATTTTATTTACATGTAATGTTTGGTATATCGATAGGATATTAAATTAAATCCCCTTCTGTGCTTTAAAAAAACAATATATTATTTAAATAGGGGCACTTGAGCAGAAACCTTTACAACCCTTTTAGTCTCATGAAATGAAAAATGGAAAATGTCTTTTTTTTTCTTTTTTTTTATAATCTATAAATATAATTTGTAAAAATAAAAAATAAAATGTCTTTAATGTTGTTACATATTGCAGGTGGTTTCATTGTGAAACCACTGGGCTTCTCTAAAAATAATAATTTCATAGTTTCTTATGAAAATCTGCAAAGCAGTTTTTTTTATTTTTGTTATTGAATGTTTTGCAGAATGAACTTGTCCAATGTGATTCCTTAAGTGTGCACATCTACGAGATGGCCCCGACATATGAGCCGCTACATAGGGTTTGAACCTGTTTTGTTGTTTTTGCAGCCTATTCCGGATAAGTGTTGAGGATGAGGATGCCCCAACTAGGCCTGCAATTATAGACAGTCAAAATTCTTTACAAATAATGTAGGCATTTACAAGTGTAACATCCAGGAAGTGACAAAAATGTCAGCAGGTACAAAAAAGTTGTCAAATGTCCTAAACAAACATGCTGTAAACCACTAATATTTAGATAAAGATATTACACAAAAAGGTCTGCAGAAGTTGAAATTGTATATGTATATTCTGCAAAAGACCTTAAAAAATAATTGCAGTATCATGAAAAAAATAAAACAATATCTCTTTTTTGCCAGATACACAGTAAAAACAGCACAATTAGTAATGACAAAGGATTGGGCTCAACTACCACTGTATGTGACTCACTAACAAAGTGAAATGGAGTACACTCTTTAACGTGCATGCTGCTTCTGGAGCTGATTCTAATACTAGAGGCATAGGCGTGCGCACAGGCATGGAGGGAGGCAGGAGAGGACCCGGGGAGCTCTTGCCAGCAGCTCCGCCGGGTTCCTCTCGCGAGGTCGGAGTGTTGCCGCGGCTAGAGTTGAGGGGCTAGAGTTCACTCACCACTTGACCACCAGGGATGGCAGCAGCACGGTCCCCCCTCCCTACAAAAGGTAAGAAGGGAGGGGGGATATTAACTAAACGGTCCCCACACCCCTACACAAACAGCACCCACACACAAACAGCACCCACACACAAACAGCACCCACACACAAACAGCACCCACACACTAACAGCACACACACACTAACAGCACACAAACACTAACAGCACCCTCACACTAACAACACCCACACACACAGCACACTCACACTAACAGCACATACCAACTAACAGCATCCTCACACTAACAGCACCCACACACTAACAGCACCCACACACACAGCACACTCACACTAACAGCACACTCACACTAACAGCACCCTCACACAAACAGCACCCACACACTAACAGCACACACACACTAACAGCACCATCACACTAACAACACACACACAGCACACTCACACTAACAGCACACACACACTAACAGCACCCTCACACTAACAGCACCCACACACTAACAGCATCCACACACACAGAGTGCCCTCACACACACAGCACCCTTACACACACACACAGAGTGCCCTCACACACACAGCACCCTTACACACACACACATACGCGAACTAACAGCAGCCTCACGCACACACAGCACCCTTACACACACAGCACCCTCACACACACACACAGCACCCTCACACACACAGCACCCTCACACACAAACACAGCGCCCTCACACACAGCGCCTGCACTCACACACAGCGCCCTCGCACACACAGCACCCTTACACACACAGAGAGAGTGCCCTTACACACAAAGCACCCTTATACACATACACACACTAACAGCAGCCTAAAACACACACAGCACCCTTACACACACACATCACCCTCACAAACATACACAGACAGCACCCTCACACGCACGCAGTGCCCTCACACACACACACAGCGCCCTCACACACACACAGCGCCTACACACACAGCACCCTCGCACACAGCGCCCTCACACACACAGCGCCCACACACACACACCGCCCACACACACATAGGGCCCACACACACAGCGCCCACACACACACACAGCACCTACACACAGCACCCTCACACACACACAGCAGTGTGTGTGTATGTATGTATGTGTATTTATATATATATATATATATATATATATATACGCAGCGCGTGTGTTAGTGCTTTAGGGTGCACAACCTTATGCACTAGGCTGCGCACGCCTATGACTAGAGGGCTCCAATGAGCTGTTTTCAATACTGATTTAAAAGAAGAACCAGTGGGCTCTGTGAGCAAGCATAATTAAAATGTGGTTTCTGGTTGAAACCAGTGGGCCAGAAAGGGAACAAACATGTAGCTCATACTCAAGCTTTTGTTTTGGTTCAGAATGTAGACAATTGCCTCCATCCTCAAGGGGTTAACAACATTCTTATCAGTTGAAAGGCTGAACTTGATGAACTTTTTGGAAAATGGAAAAAAAAGAGGACACACTCCTTACACATGAAACACTTCAGAAAGCTGATGTGTTTTACATAGTTACATCAAGTTGAACCTTGAAGCCCATTCTTTCATGCTTTAGAGGTGTTTAGTATTTTATTTTTTTTAACTCATCATTAAATTGATTGTTTGTAGTACCAGTGATTCCGTATAGTCCCTGATAGTTGTGAAAACTTCACATAGTCTTAAGTCCATGAATGGGGTATTAATGACTATTAATGACTTAAAAATGTGAGTGGTTCATAGAAGTTGTGTTCTCTGTGAAATATAAAATCTACCCAGTGAAAAATGTGCAGTATAAGGATATTAAAGGTATTGAGGCTTGTGCACTGCCAATCACATACTGCACACATGCTTTTATTAAAGGGACACTCCAGGCACCCAGACCACTTCAGCCCCTTCACTCCCACTACCCTTAACCCTGCAAGTGTAATTATTGCAGTTTTTTATAAACTGCAATAATTACCTTGCAGGGTTAACATGACTTGTAGTGGCTGTCTACTAGACAGCCACTAGAGGGCACTTCCGTGTGAGGACTTCCAGCGTCGCTCAATTCCCCATAGGAAAGCATTGAAAAGCATGAGAGCTCTCATTAGGTCTCCCCGGCCGGCGGGCGGAATCAGTCTCGCCCACCGTCCGATGTAATGAAGAGGAGGAGCGGCGGCGACCCGAAATCACCGCCGAGGGACATCGGCGGGGGTCTCAGGTAAGTGACTGAAGGGGTTTTCACCCCTTCAGCAACCGGGGATTGGGAGGTGGGAGGGAGAGGGGACCTGCAGTGCCAGAAAAATGGATTGTTTTCCTGGCACTGGAGAGTCCCTTTAAGTAGAGGGAGAGCTACTGTTTAAAGAGGTGCATGAGTTTTATATATATTTTTTTTTAATTTATTTATTTTATAATTATTCAGTTTGCTAACAGGAGTACGCAGTCAGTATTCAATGGAAACTGTGGTATATTTTGCGAACAGACGTACGCAGTCAGTATTCCATGGAAGTTGAGGTATTTTCTTGCTCTTGTAGGATAAGCAACTGTTGGTAACAATGCAATTCAGTTGTATTAAAGGGACTCTATTGGCACTCAGAACACTTCATCTCAGTGAAATGTTCTGTGTATGGTGCCCCTGTCTTTTCAACGCTGTAAGTAAAAAACATTGCCGTTTTGGAGGAATGGTACTATGTACATTGCAGGGATAACATGCCCCTAGTGGCTGTCTTCCTAACAGAAGCACTTCCACAGCTAAAATTTCATTAAACCTGATTGTAGATCAAATTACTCTTGTAGAGGGTATATGACTGGTGCACCACCATTTGTACACCTTTATATTCCTTGAAGTGTATACGTTTTTATAATGATTTATTAAAAAAACACAAATACTCATCATTAATACCATTGTTTATAATTCCATTATTTCTTTAGTTTACTTATGATTACACTTAAAGACACATTTGCAGAAATTATCTTTTGTTTATTTCAGTTTTATTTTACCAGGAAAAGAATTATGCACCATAATAAAAACATGACAAATGTACTGTGGGATAAATTAAATTGAAGTAGAGGATGATTAAACATGCAAGCACAAAAGTCAAGTATGGAAGACATTTTTTAAAGCAATCAAATACTACATTCTGGGCATTTTAAAAAGTAAACAGTATAACAAATTATCTGTTTTGTATAAAGAGCTATGGAAATAAAATTAAATTGGTTACATTTCTTTTATTAAAGTGGGTCTAAGCATCATAACCACTAGATGCTATTGTTATGGTTATGATGATAGTAGGCTATGAGTGCCATCCTTCGGTTCTGGGTCAAATCAAACTTTTTTGACCAAGCCCCCTTGCACACGTCTTTACATTTAACGTCTTAACTCCTGCTAACTAATATTATTATTGCCATTTATATAGCGCCAACAGATTGTGTAGCGTTTAACCATATTGTTATTATTAGCAACATGTCAGCTGGAGAGACACAAGGAGGAGCTGGGGGTGGGAGAGACACATGGTGGGGGGGGAAACACGTGGATTGGCTGGGGGGAGAGACACATCTGGTTTGGGAGAGACACATGGAAGGGCTTGAGGGAGACACACATGGAGAGTCTGGGGGTTAGGAGAGATACATGGACGTCTGGGGGAATAAGACATGTGGATGGACTGGGGGGGTGAATGAGACACGTGGAGGAACTGGGGGAGAATGAGACATGTAGAGGGGCTAGGGGGAGAATGAGACACATAGAGGGGCTGAGGGGGAGAAGGAGGCACATGGAGGGACTGGGGAGAGAATGAGACATGTGGAGTGGCTGGCAAACGGGAATGGGACACTTGGGGGCGTGGATGAGACACCTGGGGGGCCCAAGACAATTTTCTAACCGGGGCCCATTTTATTTTAGTTACACGTCTGAAAATGACTATTGATTTAATAATTATAATAGGTACAGACAACAGTCATACTTTATTAGTTGGGTTAGTGGTTCAGTGACCCAGAGTTAGTTGGGTTAGTGGTTCAGTGACCCAGAGATCTCTTCTTCCTGTAGCTGTAGGGGCACAATTAAGTTATACTTACGTACCAAATACCTGAACCTGACTTTTACATTAAGTAAATCGCATTTACTAAAATGATACAGAGGTTTTAAAGGGGCACTGTAGGCATTGTACAGATACAAGAGAGCAAAGGATCAGTGCTGATAAAACCACAAAAGACAGTTGTGAAAACAAAAAGACAAGAAGGAAGGTAGCGTCAATAGTCTAATAGTATGTGTAAAATATGTATACATTTTTAAAAATATAATATAAAATGAGAATAGAATAAAAAGTCCAATTCAAATGAAATAAAATTCTACTTGTAGGGGAACAGCCAAATCTTGATATAGGTAGATGTCTTATAGGGAATTCTGGGTCAGGGCAAGCTCAGAGTCCGTACGTGCATATAAAAGAACAAAAGAAATGTCCTAATTGTACAGTATGTTACAGACGGTAAGGCTGAAAAATGAACAGGCATTGTGCACAAGGCCGCAGGCTCCACAGAGAAGGAGGTAAGTTTGCGTTGGTTCGCCGAGCATCACTCTGCATGCCCCCCGATGTAGGGGTCGCAACCAAGTGACGGTGCTGTCCCAGATTGTGCTTGATTTGGCTGCATACAGCTTCTGTATTCAGGATATTGGGGGAGCTTGTGTAAAACATGTCTCTCCGCCATGGCAATCAGGACCCGCCCTCCTTTTGTATTGTTTTGATACTTTTTTAGTGGGATAACATTTTCATTATTTTCCTTTTCGTTTGAGCATTCTTTGTTATCATCTTGAACAAAGTCACATTTATCATGAAAAATAAGTAACCTCCCCCAAAAGATCCTTCATTAATCCTTTAAAAACATTATATTCTTTAACTATTCTCACTGGCTCAGCTAACCGCAAGACTTGAACAACTTGAAAACCAGCTGCTCAGCAAGAAGTGAGGAACTTCAAGAGAGATCTTTCAAAAATATGCTACAATACGAACAGGTTAACGTGCCATGACAAGTGGTATCCTTTGTAACCCCTTTTAAGGAGGCATAGACATGCCAAGCGGAGCTGTAAAACTATCCATATTATAAATAAATGTGAATAGATTGTTTATTATAATAATTATTATTGTTATTTCTGTAACTGTTCTTCATTAAACATTTTATCTAGACATTTGGATTGCGTGTAGTGGATTGTAGTATGGTAGAATATATTTTTAATTTCCTTCTTTTTGAAAAGAAAAACGAAACAAGCAAATAAGGTGGTGACAGGTTTTAAGAATGTCTATTGTAATGTTTATTTTTTTATATGTTACTTTTTCTTATATTTGTCAATTGGTCAAAGTTCCTTAATGTACTTTCCTTTTTTGTTGTAGTGTTAACACTCTCCTTCAAAAATAAAGGAAGAGTTTTTTGTTGTTTTTTTAAACCCCTGTGATTTTATACAAAAACAAATTGACTGATTAAAAGCAACTTGAGAGAGACTTCTTGTTTATGTATCTTTGCTAGAAGCAAAAGAATTGTAGGTATGGTTAATTATGATATTTTTGTATTGTGGTATAATTTATGATGGGTTGTACTAAGGTCAAACACATTTGTTGAATGGACTTTTTGTAATAAAAAACCCTGTGTGGAAGTATCCCAACAAAATCTCTCCACGTCCTGAGTGATCTCTAGGTTACTTTGTTTTACGTTAATTGGAGGGGTATGAATTTAAAACATTAACTAAATCTCACAGCATTGTATACTGTTCCCATGATCAAGTGTATGCCTTAAAAAAAATAAAAAAATAAAAATATTGTGAGATTATTAAGTATCAGTAATGTTAACCAATGTTCTTATCAACTGTTTTCTTTCCCATAAAGCTAAGCTTGTAAACATGTAGAAAATGGTTATTTTATATTATAATAATATATTGAAGAAGGCAGCATTACATGCAGTTTAGGAGCTTGATCAATTTTTTACCATAAATTAACTATTTTGCAATGTTTTTGTCAAACTGGAATCAATGCTTCATGATAAGGGACTGTGTATGAAAAGTTCTCCCAGATGTGTGTATCATTCAGAAAAACTGTTACTGTGGCAGTATTTGTGAGATCATAATGTGCATTTACGTAAAGGAAGAAAAAAATATTTTCTTTAATTAATGATGGAAGTTATTTTAGGTTAAATGAAAGTCATTAGGGTTAATATATATTTTGGCAGAGAGAAGAGTCCCTACAAGTGGGGACCACAATAAAGGAGAACCACTTAAGAATATAATCTAAATAGATAATAGTTTGAAACGTAGGTGGTTAGAGATAGATCACTTTTATTCAATAGACCATAATATTACACTTTGTGCAGACATATACACGGAGAGACCCTTTTAAAAGATATATATTACCACCTACAAACTCCCAATGCAGTTTATTATGGGAAAATTCCTTTATTTTGCTAGGGTGTGTGTAGAGTGATATATCACCTAAATATCTACCATGACAGGACGCCCTTGCCTTACTTTAAATAGAAGAGTAAGTAGAGACTTAATAGTGGTCCCCACTTGTAGGGACTCTTCTCTCTGTTTATATAATACTAGGATTAGCCCCTGATTTGTAGAATTTACCTTTTCATGAGACCCATTTTTTCTTTTTCTATTTGTTCAGTAACATATATTTTTCCATAATCTAATTGTATCCATTAAATATTCCATTCTTGATTTAGTAAACAGTTGCTACTCTACGGGTACTGTAATGTTGCTGTAAACATTTCTATAATGAGTGCTAGACACCCAGCACTTTTACAATTATATGCTAGATCCGCATTTTGGATGTGGCAACACCAACTCAGGGTTTTCGGTAGCCTCACAGGTGATGGGCTACATTTGATAGTAGACAGGGAAGGATCTGTTGAGCTCCTGACATTCAATGTGCAGTTGGTCTATTTTATCACCAACAAGTAGATCAACTACTCTGTCAATCATGTGACTGGCTCCCCCCTCTCTGCGTCATAAATGAGTAAACTGCTCTCAAGAGGCAGCCTGCTGATGTCATCGATGCTTGCATTCAGGGCCAGTTGGGGTTTCTATGGAGATGCCAAAAAAAAATGTAATTTATGCAATTTTCTGGTGACTGGGGAAGGAAGACATGGGCCTAATTGGTTACAAAAAAATATACCATGTACATAGCTACACTAAACTGACTGCTGCTAAAACCCTGCAATTTTTTTAGGTTTTATGACACTATTTTACAATTTCTGACACCTGTATAAAAACGATTGAGAGATGAAAGAAAAAGTCATGAGTCATTCTACAACTGCGAAGCATGGTAACTCCTAATAGAAATGTTAATTTTGGTTCAGGCTGAGATTAATAAGATTTCATATAATAACAGCTGTACTGGCAGAATAAGGTCATGTAACCTGTATGTGTGGTGTACAACTCTTATCAGGAGTGGATAGGTGGGTGGAATAGTGACATATACATTGCACACTTTGTTTAACACATCATCTTTGTTATTTCTTATTTCATATGAGAAGATCTACATAGTCATAGATGGTTACTCGCCAAAGTGAGAATTCAAGGTGAATTCAAAATTTAAGGTCCAAATAACAGAACCTGAAAAATCCTCTAAATCAACTCTTCTTTCAGTTTGCCAATTTTGACCTTAAATTAGAAATTCTCTTTGAATTCACTTTGAATTCTAACTTTAGTGAATAACCCTGATAATGTTCTCAGTATCTAACCTAAATTAAAATGACATGTGAGATTTAAAGACTTATTCAATTAACCATGAATTGTGGTGAACTAAAAACAAAATGGCAGAAGCAACAACATTAGAAAATTAGCACATACAGGGTTTTCATGAAAGTATGATTGTCATTGAGCATTGAGTTACATATGGGTATATGTGTATAAAGCTACTTACATACGTGTTTGTTTGAATGAGGCCTGTCACTCTAAAATTGCCTAGCCCAGGACCCCACATAAGTTAATGGGTGGCCCTGTTACCTCCCCTGGATGAAAGAGCACCATCCTTAAACCCTAGCAATAAGATGTTAAAACCAGCCCCCTTGATTTCAGAGAGCTGGGCCATCATAGTAACTATAGGGATCCTGAATCTATACTCTCATATGACAAAATGAGTCCAATATTAAGTTTGTTTTAATTAGTATTATTACATGATACTATTGAAAGCCTGAACGGATCCAGCTTATGTCTATGCTGATCACCCAACCATGGCATTGCAATATGCAGTGATGCTGCACTAAAATGGTAATAAACTATACATTACACTTAAACCACACTACACACATGTCAACAACTAGTTATTTCTTGTTGAAAAAAGACACAATATCTGAACAATATTGAAGATTTCTACTTTGTTACTCTATTTTTTTATTCCTGCAGAATTATTATTAAGAAGAAAAAAATCCCAACATTTTCTGTATGCTTTATTTTGTTTCAGTCTGACACTAAATTTGCACAATAAAGCCTCCATGCATATGTTTTTTGGTCTGTATTCCGATTTTCAGCACATGATGGTTAATTGATATATTGCATATTGTGATGAATTGGATATTATTTTTTTGTACTAGTTGCGTGTTCGTTTTTTTTTTTAAGTTTTAGTTAAAATAGTTATTAAAATAAAATGACACCAGCTTACTATAGATATGGTGGGTATACAGTAGGTTAGGTTGGAAGTTTATCAAACAAAAGAGGTGCTATTCTGGGTGCCAAGTGATATATACTGAGGAATATTGTATTTATTTTCATGATAATGTAATTGCTACTTATTTAGCACTTTCTCCAAGAATTGAACCTGTTTTTTACATTGATAAATATATTCCCAAAATGCTTACTCTGTATATTCTTGTAATTTAAAAAGGTCAAGTATGGAATTTCAATAGGGGAAACATAAAGATAACATAGGAAAATGAAGGATGCATGTGAGGCTATTGAGTAGGTAAACAGATAATGTACAAATGTTTTAAAGAGAAACAGGAAGAGAGTCAAGAAAAATGTGGGCTGGGAAATTATCTACTCTGCATTCTATCACCATCTAACATTCTCTAGTGGCCCATCACAAGGGGTGGGAGACTCGCATCTCTCTCTCCAATAGTGTTGCCACATCAGAGTGATCAAGCTCAAAGGACACCAGACGGCACAAGTGAAGCCAAATGGAGGTGTCCCTTCATTAGAGTGTATTTCTACTACTTTCGTGATCCACTAATGCATGAAAACTTAGCAGAATGGGATTGCAAACGAGGGACTATTAGTTGGAAAAATAATTCCTCATATGTCTTATTTAGATAAGAGCTTAGAATAGAAACATAGAATGTGACGGCAGATAAGAACCATTCGGCCCATCTAGTCTGCCCAATTTTCTAAATACTTTCATTAGTCCCTGGTCTTATCTTATAGTTAGGATAGACTTATGCCTATCCCATACATGCTTAAACTCCTTTACTGTGTTAAACTCTACCACTTCAACAGGAAGGATATTCCATGCATCCACTACCCTCTCAAAAAAGTAATACTTCCTGATATTATTTTTAAACCTTTGCCCCTCTAATTTAAGAAAAAGTACATAAAGATTGCTCTGGTTTACAAGTTTACATCCAGGGGATTTGACTATTACCAGATTTTATGGTATTCATTTTATAGACCTCAGACGGATAAAGGGCTGAGTCAACCCTGCCAGAATTTGAATCTGTAACCTCCAATAGTTGAACAGATTTGACTGAAGATGCATTAGCCTATTGAGCTATCTCACCACCTACTTCATTCATTGACTTTTAACTATAATAATATAATAACTAGTATTTATATAGCACTTTTCTCCCAGTGGCACTCAAAGCACTTTTCAGCGCACACTCTCAGAATTAACCAAATCGGCAGCTGAATAGTAATAGATGTTATTATTACCCAATTGATGGTACTCTGGCAGTAATCAAAACTGCGGTCCAACAAAATATAAAATGTGTGTACTTAAGGTGTGAAATCAGATAACCAATCATTGCTGGGATCTCTAAGAAATCATGATGATTAATTGGTTTCAGACTTACAACATATGAATTCCACATATAGATGGACCTTGGTTTCAAGGTCTACCTGGAAGAATGCAGAATTTTGGACAGTGTGACCTGGCTCCCCTAAGTCTAAGGGTGATCTAAATCTTACTAGGGCAAGAGTGTATGTAACAATCACAAATTACTGTAGAGATCACTGTAAGAGGTCGCAGATAGTAAAATTAATTCAGAAATGAGGCCACAAGCAGAGAATAAAGCAGACAACAGTTCACTGTGAAAAAAAAACCCATTGTAAAACATCAGACAATAAATAGCACTAGGTCACAACTGGTATTTATAAAACAATTTGTAATCAAATTATTATCATTTTGCTGACCAGACAAAAAGTGGCTTGACACTCTGATGAACTGTGGACACTGCTTTTGTTAAAACAGTTACATATTATTCTTTCTGGCGTGAACTCTAATAATTCTCAAATGGACTTTGAGGATAATATGTAGTCAATCCTAAAGATCAATGCAGCTTTTGTATGAACATGGTCCTTGTTCATTCATGTATCCATTCTAATGTCTCTAGTGCTGTGCATTAACAATGTAGCATTTAGGTCAGCTAATGTTAAAATAATACTGCATGGAAATTTATTTATTTTCAACTAGATGATCTTGCAGAGTTACGAAAAAGCAAGCTTAAATATGCTGCAGAACTTTTTGTCCAGCATGGACTTTACCATCTTTGCTGGACATTTTCCAATTAGAGGCATCTTATTGAAAAGTCATGCAGACAAATAAGGCCAGCACACGACTGGCTAATCATATATACACAGTCATGGGAAAAGTGCACCCTCTTTGAATTATACGTCTTTATTTATGTTTACCCCTTAAGGACCAAACTTCTGGAATAAAAGGGAATCATGACATGTCACACATGTCATGTGTCCTTAAGGGGTTAAATAAATCATGACATGCAGGGGCGGACTGAGAACCCTCAGGGCCCCCGGGCAAAATAAATCAAGGGCCCCCTTACAGGCCCCACCCATACTCTGCAGCAAGCGCCACCCTTGTCCCGCCTCCATGCACCGCCTCCAGCCACACCCTACACAATCTTTAGACACAAGGAACAAAAGGGCAATAAGCCCTTCGAGGCCCCAGCAGAGACTACAATTGAGGGCTAATGGGCCATGGAGGGGGGTCTTTCTAGCGGAGGCTATCTCAGTGTCCTTTAGAGAGTGTGTTAGATAGAATCCCCTCCAAGCCCCATTAGAGACTACAATGGAGTCTAAAAGGCTTGGAAGGGGGTCTTTTCAACAGAGGCCATCTCAGCGTCCATTAGATATCCCCTGCTGGAAACAGTCGCCTCCAGGCCCCAGTAGAAACTACAATTGAGGGCTAATGGGCCATGGAGGGGATTTCTAGCAGAGGCTAGAGTCTAATGGGGCCTGGAGGGTGGTCTCTCCAACACTCTGGTTCCTATTCACAATATAGCAACACAACATAGCTCGCTGATACCTAAGCCAAGTTGGCTCCTCTTACCTTAATTACTGTTGCTGGCTGGCAGTCTGTGGGCTGGCTGGCAGTCTGTGGGCTTGCTGGCTGCGGCTGGCAGGCTGTGGGCTTGCTGGCTACTGCCGGCAGGCTGTGGGCTTGCTGACTGCGGCTGGCAGGCTATGGCTTGCTGGCTGTAAGCCTGTGGCCTGTGGCTTGCTGTAGGCCTGTGGGCTGGCTACTGGCCTGTGGGCTGGCTAACTGGCTGGCTACTGGCCAGCCTGTGGGTTGGCTGGCTGGCTACTGGGGCACTTGTAGATTATTTAAAGAAATAATCTATGCACAATAACCACTACTGCTCCAGAGTAAGTAGTCAAACCATTTAAGAACAGTTTGACAACTTACCTGGGGTCTGCTGGGATATGAGGCTGTAGTAGGGAATAGGAGCAGTGGTGCAATGTGTGTGAAAGGTTCAGTGTGTGTGTGGGGGTGTAGTGTGTGAATGTGTAGGGTGTGTGGGCAGTGTATGTGTGTGGCAATGTTAGTATGGGGGGCTGTGTATGGGGGTCTGTGTGTATATGGGTGGGCAGTGTATGTGTGTGTGTGAGGCAATGTGTGTAAATGTGTATGGTGTGTATGGGGGCAGTGTGTGAATGTGTATGGTGTGTGTGTGGGGGCAGTGTGTTTATGGGGCTAGAGTTCACTCTCACCACTGCGACCACCAGGAATCCATGGGGGTTACAGTGTTGAGAGTGAACTCTAGCCCGTAGCTCCAGGGCTAGAGTTGACTCTCGCAAGAGCAGTAACGTTGCCATGGTAACCGCGGCAACGCTCTGTGCTCGCGCAAGAAGGACCCAGAGGAGCTGCAGGGTGAGCTCCCAGGTCCTCTCTTCCTCCCCTGCCCGCACGGTGCCTGCGGACAGGGGAGGGGGGGCATTCTTCCCTCTCTGTCTCCCCCCTCCCCATCTCTCTATTCCCCCTGTGTCGCATTCTTCCCTCTCTGTCTCTTTCTCCCCCTCCCCATCTCTCTATTCCCCCTCTTTCTCCCCGTGTCTCATTCTTCCCTCTCTGTCTCTGTCTCCCCCTGTGTCTCATTCTTCCCTCTCTTTCTCCCCATCTCTTTATTGCCCCCCCTTCCCCATCTCTCTATTGCCCCATCTTTCTCCCCCCTCCCCATCTCTCTATTCCCCCATCTTTCTCCCCGTGTCTCATTCTTCCCTCTCTGTCTCTGTCTCCCCCTGTGTCTCATTCTTCCCTCTCTTTCTCCCCATCTCTTTATTTCCCCCCTTTCTCCCCTTCCCCATCTCTCTATGTCCCCCCTCCCCATCTCTCTATTCCCCCCTCTTCTCCCTGCCCATATCTCCTGTTTCCCCCTCTTTCTACCTCCCCATCTCTCCCCCCTCTCCCATCTCCCCTTCTTTCTCCCCTCCCCATCTCTGTTCCCCCCTCTTTCTCCCCCTCCCCATCTCTCCCCTCTTTCTCCCCCATCTCTCCCCCTCTTTCTCCCCCTCCCCATCTCTCCCTCTTTCTCCCCCATCTCCCCCCCCTCCCCATCTCCCCTGTTCTCCCCCCTCCCCATCTCCCCCCCTGTTTCTCCCCCCCCTCCCCATCTCTCCCCCCCTCTTACAAAGTCAGGTGGGCCGGCCGTTTGATGCTGGAGCCGGACGGGTGGCAGCCTCGCCGGTCCGGCGGCATTCCTCTCACTAACGCTGAAGGGGGAGGAGGAGGAGCATGTGTCTGTCATGCTCCCTGCGGTTCCCACAATTCCCAGCACATGCTCCTCCTCCTCCTCCTCCTTCAGTGTTAGTGAGAGGAATGCCGCCGGACCGGCGAGGCTGCTACCCGGTCCGGCGGCTGCAGCATCAAACGGCCGGCCGGCCCCCTCACAGTGTGCCACCGGACCGGCCACCCGGTGGCACCTGCAGTCCCCAAATGCCACCCACAATCTAGCCCTGCCGCCGGGCCCCCTGAAGGCGGCCCTGGCGGCGGGCCCCCTTCCCGGCCGGGCCCTCGGACCATGTCCGAAGTGCCCGACCGGTCAGTCCGCCCCTGGACGTGTGTGTGCTGGTTGTATGTAATTTGTGTGCATGGTGTGTGCTGGCTGTATGTGATGTCTATGCGCTGGCTGTATGTAAAAAAACACACTGCACACTGACGCACACACCGATCAATACACAAACACACTGCACACTGACACACACTGACCCATACAAAAACACGCTGACAC